GCTAAGAAGATAAAAACCATCGCTATTAAGAATATCTTTCAATTGTTTTCCCTGACTGGTCTAGATAGCGAACTCTGAAATAAAATAAATAAATAGAGCGAGCACAATAGATCTATGTAGGTCGCAGTATAAGTCCAAGCACATTAAAATAACACAAAAATTACATTAAAAAATATGTACATACAGCTTCTATATTTGTTTATTCTATTTAATATATATAATTATCAAAATTTTTATTTAAATTGATAAAATTCATTTTATATATTTAAAATAATTGTGCAATTATATGTATTATTAACCGGGTCTTAAAACGAATAATTTTATCGTAAATAAAGGTAATTTACCTCTCTCGACGTTTCGACTAGGTTGCACTAGCTCCGGTTAATAATATAAATAATGTATATTAAACACAAAAGTTTAAAAACAAATCAACAAAAAAAAATTGCGCAAATAAAGCAAAGTATTAATAAACAGTTTATTCCTGTAGGTACAACACATACTGAGTAAATAAACACCATGCTTTAAGAGTTGGCACTGCCTCTAGGCGAATTTAAACCAAAATTCAATCTATGTAACCATACATAGGGTTGAAAATATCATTTTACAGTTACATTTTACAACAAATATTTACTTCTAAGTGATTTAGGTACACTCGTAATATTATTGTACAAAAATGTTTCCTCATTTGTTGCGAGTAAAAGCGCGGGAAATTTCCATGTTATTTTTCCTTTTTGATTTAATGGCTTTCGAAATTTGAAATAATTTGTAACATTTAAAAAGGTTCTAATTCAAATGCGACCTTCTTTTCATTTACTTCTATATAATATTATTTTTAGAATTCCATAGTAAAGTATAGAAGCTTTTTTACGACTCTTCTTTTTTTGCTAGTCGTAAGAGATAGGAAGGCACAGAAATATTATCGTCAGTTTTATTACTCAGACAAATAGTATTCTGTAGGTAGGTACTGCAGTACTACAAATAATACAGAAGCAATAAAAATAGGTCATTTCATTACATGTTTACATATTTTACAATACACATTTGTTTAGGACAGTTCTTTTTTTAAATTAAATTATTAAAAATATCTTTTTCTGTAAACAAATTTCTCGCCGTGCGTCTAATTCGCACTTGACCGCAATTTTGATGAATGATTTATTAAACCCATTCCATGTTCTATATTCAAATAATTTCAAATTGTAAATTCTGAAATCTCTTTGTAAATCGAATGTACTTATGCAATTGTTCAAATTTCGTCCTATTATAAGGGTATTACCATAAAGTATTGTTCTCAAACTTGCTCGTAAAGTGGATCTAATTTCACCGGTTTTCAATATATAAAGCATCTCATAAAACAAAAGTGCTTTATAAATCCATAACCGCAATATTTGCTACTTTTTTTTTCAAATTTCGAACTAACCGCAGCGTGGCGTTAAAAACGTCGTATGATTTAGGTGCGTATTTAACACACTCGGCTCCATTACGCCCTCGCCTTCGGCCTCGTGTGTTATAACTATCATAAAGTACTTATATCGTAATCTTATATATAAAATTCTCGTGTCACAGTTTTCGTTCCCATACTCCTCCGAAACGGCTTGACCGATTCTCTTGAAATTTTGTGAGCGTATTGAGTAGGTCTGAGAATCGGCCACCCCTAAATTTTTTTTTTTAATTTTAAGGCAAAACAACGTTTGCCGGGTCAGCTAGTATACTATAAATACTAGTTAAGACCGTAACTGTTTTGTTTCTATACCTATCGGAACCTACCACAATATGATAGTGAAAATTGCACCAAAATACATATGTTAAACTACTTTCCATGAATATTATGTATGTATTTACAAAAAAAATTACTCCTGACTCAATGAAATAAATACAGTAATAGATATTAATCGTCCTGCTACTTTGGATGTTATTCAACCAGCCTAACACCTGCCCCCAGGTAGCGACCTGCAATGTCCCATTTGGAAATCTCTCAACAGACTACGAACTCAGATGGGCCGCTGCAGATACAACTTGGTAAAGTGGGGTGCCGCTTCAAGGGAGGCTTGTGACTGCGGAGCGCCATCCCAGACTATGGCACACCTATTGACTTGTCCTTTGTGCCCAGTAACCTGCACAAAGGAAGACCTAAAAAATGCGACGGAATGCGCAAGGGTCGTCGCGGCGTTCTGGGGAAAATATACTTAAATATATGTATTTAGTTGCCGTTGAAACGAAAGAAGAAGAAGAAGTGTGTGAAGTGTATAGTGCTTTCATGTATATGACGGTGATGTGGTCAAGGTTTTTTTATTATAGAAATATTATTGCACTACAAAAATTATAATAATATTCAAATATGGTGTGGGATTGAAAACCTTCAAAGGTGGCGAGCGGGAAACTTTTTCAATTATAATTAGAGATTAGAATATGATATTCATATTTTATTAAAATAATATTTAACATTTACTCTCAATTAATATTATTGTTTTATATTAATGAAATCCTATTTATACAGACAGACAATAATTCTATGAGTCATTGTTATTATTAATGATATCAATTAGGGGTATATTTTAGAAAATAATTTTCTATATAGATTTTCTGATAACTGGTTGATTACCATTTTAAGATTGTTTGTACTTTTGTTATTACTATTTCAAACACAAAGCAAAACAAAAAGATTTAAAGAACATCGTGATCAGTAGTTTACTATCTAATCATCAAACCTAAGTTTGATAGTTCGAATCTGGACGTCATGAATAATATTTGTGTGCCAATTTACATGTCTGATATCTCTGGTGATGGAAACATCGATATAATATGAATAGAATATAACATGCAGCTATTTGAAGCGCCTACATTTTGGTAATTGGCAATAACAGTATTATATTACGTCGTGCATGACCTTTATTGACAGGCGTTATTTATTTGCTTAATCCTAATAAAACATTATTTATCATAGTTCAGTATAAAAACGTCCTTAATTTTTAAAATGACCTCTAAAGCCCTTATAAAATTAACAAGATAAATTATATAATAATTGCTGGAGGAATATTGCAATGTTTAAGATGTTTTATTATTGAAATAAAAAATGGTGTGAACATATTGTACACAGAATTTAATAGTGACGCCACGGAATGTTCAAGGAGTGCAAAAATGTATATAAAGTTAAATAAAATAACAACGATGTTCCATGCCTGACGTTCCAAATTTGAATTTTATAATTTTATTTTTAATTATTTAATATTAAATGGCTATTGGCGATCGCAAACAATAATGATCAAAATCTTATAAAAGTAATTATATGGTTATACTTATATAGCTTGAATTACAAACGTGCACATCAATCTGTGCAAGTAATCCTGTGCATGCACAGGATTTTCACTTGATGTTAAACATAAACACCTCCATAAGTATACAATGTAATAAAACTGGTTATTAAAAAAAAGGTTCAAAGTGACGGAAGGACTATATTAAACTGGTTTAAAAAGAGACACGTTTCTAAGTGAGAAAATATGTATATACAGCTAGAAGAGCAAAAACAACAAGACAAGGAATGTGGCATTAGAAAACAATCGGTATATAAAAACAGAACGTCAAAATAATTCTAAAACATATAAAAAAAAACTACCAAATCAAAACAAACAAAACATCCTCCCCGAGTTTCTAGCAGTTAGAAGGTTACCTGACTTTGCTAATAATCTATAGATAAGGTACATATATATATATATCAAATCTCATTAGCCGATTCCCACTCACATACTATCACATAATGACTTAGATACAAATCCTAAGTATCTTCTCAAAGGCTGACATGAAGATATCTCTCAACAAGATAAGCCGCCATTGTGCGAATATATTATAATATATAATATGTTTCTTGCTTAAATTAAATCTATCCTATTATCCAATTAATATTATAAAAGACATAGTTACCGAGGTAGGCTTTGAAAAAATCGTTTGCGTGAGTATTAGTCTCACTATTTTTTATTTTGTTTTTTACTTGAGAAAATCTGTCATGGAAACCCGTCCGCTCCAGGGTTACCGAACTGGTAATTCTGTGAGGCTAATATATTCATAATTAAAAAACGTCAAAGGACTTTTTTAAACCCTTAAATTGTTTTGTACTTTGCTTTTATGTCTAGGTACTTGACCTATATAGATGACTTCACGCAAAGTTCACCTCGGTGGAGGTCAATGAGAATGATTACTAGCAATGTACCATGTCAGGTTGCGCTCCACACGGTTCCCTCTGGAAACCATCGTAATAAATTGCCAGAATTAGTTTTTTTTTTGTTACGTTCTATCTGCTGTTGCTATTTCATTGTCAGACTATTAAGTATGTTATATGATATGTATATGGTATATTTAGGTATGTATTTTATTCATATTTATCTATAGCTTTATATATATTGTATGTATTTGTACATGTATGTTTCCATGTACTTACGTTTAGTAAATGTATATTATTTATGATATGGGTCTTATTTTTCTTATTGATTACATCTGCACCGCCTACAGTTTCTCTGCACAGCCTGTGGTTGACTGGTAGAAAATGCCGTAAGGCGTTGAGTGTGCCATATGTACTTTTACCTTGGTATTTTATGCATTGAAGTTATATAAATAAATAAATAAATAAATTTCTGGTTTTGTCACGGTGATCTGATTTCCTGCTCATCTTATCATCCTCCACTGGTGCCCCGCCAGCGTAAACCGTTAGCGCAGGCGGGTGCACCATACCATTATCATCCATAAAAAAAAACCAATAACCCCAATACTAGCAATGTACCATGTCAGGTTGCGCTCCACGCGGTTCCCTTTGGAAACCATCGTAATAAATTTCTGGTTTTGTAACGGTGGGCTAACTGATCTGACCTCCTGCTCATCTTACCGTCCTCCTTTGGTGCCCCGCCAGCGCAAACTGTTCACGCAGGCGAGTGCACCATTCCTTTATCATCCATAAAAATGAGATGTTATTAAAATAAAATTGCTTTAATCAGTATGTATTCAAGACAGTTTACCTGAAGTCCATGTCTTCAACATTAATTGAATTCACGTCGACCACGTAGATGCTGAATTCTACCATAACTGGCTGCCCTTTGCGTGCTGGTGGACGCATTTCTAAACAAAAAGATGGTGGAGAGTTTATAAACATTAAATAAAAGTTAATATCAATAATAACCTTGGAATATTCACATTTTTTATTTTTAATTATGTAGATGACCAGAGTGAACTCTGTTCCGCCTCAGAATTAAATAATATGTCAAAAGTTTTTTGAAGCTTAGTTACGCAATAAATTCCGAAAGTACAGATTAGTACAGAAAGTACTTTGACAGATTAGAACAGTTTGTACGGGAAAATAAAATTGTAGTTTCTACTATTTTACATGCAATTTCTTCATATTTTCTCACCACTTAAACCTTCCTTGGAGTTCTACAGATATTTCAAAACCAAAATTAGCCAATTCGGTCCAATCGTTCTGGGTTTTAGCGAGACTAACAAACGTCATTTTATTTTTATTCAATTCAAAATTTTCACTCTTTTAGCAGCAACACCTATTTTTTAATTATGTTATATTTATATAATATTAATTTATATGACAAAACAACGTTTGCCGGTTCAGTTAGTTTATAATAATAATCTCGTTGATCAGATTTGGATTACAATTCGCTTACCTTTAACATAGTTTTCAGGCAGTACCACCCTAGGTTTCAGTGTGTGATTCCTCTTCGACGCAACGTCATTGCAAAGCCTGGAACAATATAATTAAAAAAAAATTATTAATTGTTATATTTAAATAATAATAACAAGAGAGAGAATAATCCACCCACCATCCACCAATCCATCCACCAAAGATACGTCGTCTTCGATATCTTCTATAACTTTATCATTTTTGTCTATTAAAATGACTTTTAGTGTATAAACAACCTTTAATAAGTAAGAAACAGATGGTTCCAATTAACACTGACCATTTAAAATAGTTTTATTAAATAGAATAGCAAACATACTGCTGGCTTACCTTATGGTAAGTGGCAAACGTTTGTTATAGGGGTGTAGAGGGGATTGTCAGTAACGGTGACAAGTGTGTCAGATGACCTCTACGTGGTTCTGTCTGTACCTTATCGTTGCTAATACATCACGAGTGACTAAGTGACCTTACTTCGTGCTCATATTATTGTGCTACACTTGTGTCCCGCCAGAGCAGAAAGGCAAAATAACATTATCACATATTAAAAAAGCCATCTCCTATACACTTCTACAATTATCATTACGGATATCACGTCATCACGTGAAGCCAGTGGCTCCCGTCATGCGTTACTAATACCACCGGCTGCCATGCTAATTATTAAGCATACGGCCCATCTCATGGTCAACGGTTACCGTAGCCTATGGAAGACTGAAGTACCAAGGGTGTCACGTGTACGCTGCCAACTTTTAAGAAACATTAATATACCCTTCTTAAAAAACCCCATGCTGTAGTATTTCGAGTAAACTTCGGCATTTTGATTCTACAATCTTATTGAAATCTATTTCTATTTCATGTGCATTCCCTTTTTAATTATTACTTAACTCACAATTTTATAGTATAAGCCTTTAGTTTTAAAGTCCAATATACTATAACTTAAAAGAAATGACGTCAATAAAATTTGTTGTTATGCCAACAGAAAATGGTGCATTTAAATTTGTACATTCTAAAAAGATAGCGTGCTCCTAATTTATTTCAGGCAAACTATTTTCAGTGTATAAAACTGAAAGTTTGTACTGTTCGTTATACTTTACAATGGCACTGAAACCAAGCTGCATTGTTCTAATTTCACTTAACTTATGATAAAATATTTTGAATGTGAATTCATCGACAAATATCAACGCATAAAATGCAAGGATTTATTTAGTATTCTCATATCTGATTCCGTCTATTTTCTGATTTTTTTTGCGAACTATTCTATTTGTTGTACTTATTTGTAATATATAGGGTTAGTTAATTGTAGGTAAAACTGTTTTCTGTTTCTTTATATGCGTCTTTGTCTTTTTTTTGACGATAGGTGAGTGCAGACGTCACTCCAATGGATCCCGCGGATGGACTTATGGAGCGGCTAAAGGCCAACTTCCGCGGATACGACTTTAGTCTGAGGGTACCGCTAGGGGTTCGAACCTCGGCTCAGGCCGTTGTAATATCGATCCCCGTTTGAATTGGACAGGGGGAGGGGGAAAGGGGATTGTTAGTAATGTGGACTAATGATCTCATTGCCAGCAATGTACCATGTCAGGTTGACCTCCACGCGGTTCTCCCTGGAAACCATCGTGATAAATTCTTGTTAAATTTGTCACGATGGGCTAACTGACCTGACCTCATGCTCATCTTATCATCCTCCACTGGTGCCCCGCCAGCGTAAATCGTTAGCGCAGGCGGGTGCACCATTCCACTATCCTCCATATAACAAAAAAAAAATTGACAGGGGATCGATCGGAGGGGAATCTTTGTCTGTGATTACATGCCGTTTGGTAAATACATCTATTTAATTTCTCTCTTTATAGACCATTCCAGTAATTCTCAAATATGTATAAATGGGATATTTTTTTTATATGAATGATAATGGAATGGTGTTCCTGCCTGCACTAACCGTATACGTTAGCGGAGCGCTCCTGAAAAGGATAATCATCAGATGATATGACATTGGCAGGTAGCTGATGTAATACATGATATTACATCAGCTACCTGCCAATAAGAGGTCCGTTAAAATCGGTCCAGCCATTTCAGAAATTAGCCGGAACAAGCAGACAGTCAGACAGACAAAAATTGTGAAAAATATTATTTTGGTGTATGTACCGTATTTATATTCATATGCACGTAGTAAAAACGGTTATTTCAATATTACAAACAGACACTCCAATTTTATTTATATGTATAGATAACCTATAAATATCTATCAGTAAACACCTGTGTAACGATTACAAAAGTAATTAAGTATATATTTTGTGATTAAATATTTTTTTAGGCCTATCAGTAATTTTGAAATTTTGATATGGGTCAACTCTTCCATGAATTTTTAATTGGTAAACAATAAACATTTATTAAATTAATTGAAAAAAAGGAATAAATTGATTAAATCTGATATTCGCTACAACTCAAGTCCACAACATTTGTAATTTATACTCTATACATCTATTAATATAAACGCGAAAAATTGTGAGTTTGAATGGATGTTTGTTACGCTTTCACGCAAAAACTACTGAGCGGATTTTGATAAAACTTTACAGTACATTAGAATAAGTTCAAAAGTATCTATCTGTTTGTTAACTTTTTAGTACCATAGTCCTAAAAAGTTGGAGGACTATAGTTCTAAAAACATGCAGCAGCAGGTATACTGCCGCACTTGTAACTTCTGAGATTTTAATACTAAAGTTAGATCTGTTGCGAAGACGGCATCATCCGGCATTTTAAATTATTCGTTAAACTTAAGAAATAAGATGAAGTCTGGAAGTTTTTTATGTACTCGTATATGAAATAATATAAAAGAACTTATTGATGAATCTGGAGTTTTTGCCAAACGCCACACTACACATCCTATGTGGTTGTAGCCCACTTATGCATAAACGAAATATCTCCTTTGGAAAGATTACATTCTATCTTGAGGAGATAAAAACCATCGCTATCAAGAATATCTAGTTAGTTAGCTAGTCTAGAGAACTCTGAAAAGCGAGCACAATGGATCTATGTATATCGCAGTGCTACAGGTGCTACAGGCACCTGACAATACCCGAAATAACCCAATAAAAAATATTGTGATGAATTAAGTTTATACACATATATATTTATTTACAAACAACATCACAGAAATTACAAAATACATGACATGTCTGTGATAATTTTTATGCGCTGTTCCTGATATATTCCCTATATTATGGATAAAATATAGATAAAAGTGACAGGCGTTCATATTGACTCATACCTCCATTGGAGATATATAGTTTAGGCATAGTAATAGTACCTACTTACATAGAAAAAAAAAACCAAACCGATATTAAGAATGTTCGTGAATACAAATTTGCACCGTTCTAAGAATAAAACCCGCAACCATCGGAAGTAAAGCGGTGTGCTAAACGGCGAGACCAACGAGACTGCCACAGTAAACAGATTTACAATTATACACATATGTCTTACTCGTTACTGATTCAATTGTAAATCTTGTGATGATATTCACACCCAATAGTCATCATGAAGTTTACTAATGAACAGACTCAATTCCCTCGACTCTGAGTTTCAAATTGTTGTAAATATTGATGGCCTCGGTGGTTTAGCGGTTTAGAACATCGCTTTACTTCTGATGGTCGTGGGTTCGATTCCTCGTTCGGTACAATATTTTGTATTCCTGAGTGCGATTGTTTATTTGTGTGTATTTACAAAAAAATGTGTTCATGTATTTCTATCAGTTGTTTCGTACCCAAGCGCGCGCTGCTTAGCTTGGGACTAAATGGCGCTGTGTGGATGTGAGAACTAAAAAACAAATAAAAATAATCCTGTCAGATTAAGTATAGTCCTAAAGAATTATTTTTGTTCAATGTTATACATATTCTGTACTCATAAGTGAAATGTACATAAAACAAAAATGTATCAAGTCTGGAATTCAATAATTTAAGATGTGTAATAAAAAAATATACATATTTTTCATTACTGCTCCAATTTTATTGGTCTTAACGTAGTGTTATATATTCAATAGCTTCCTGGATAAATTGGCTATCAGTCACTGAAAGAATTTTTCAATTTGAAGCAGTAATTCCTGAGATCAGCGGCTTTAATGAAACCAATCCTTCTCCATTATATTTTAGAATAGATTATGTAAAATTCATTATTAATCTGTATCACAAACATATTAGCATATGCAGATATATTCGTAATTGTATGTATTTTATAATATAGTATTATTGTCACAGTTTTTTACCATAAAAACCCTACAATGCTTTCTATTTCTGGTAGAGAATGCCATATGGCATTGTATAAAGCATCCTTTTGAGCACTTTTTATTGTGTAATAAAGAAGAGAAAAATAACAGCTCAACTAATAATACAGCTTATACATCAGAATAACATATAAGCTATAGATTTCATGTGTATGAATCGGCGGGCACAGCTTGTAGGTTATATATTTGAATAACATGGGGAATCCGTCGTGGGAAATATTTCGCCAGCGGGCCAAGGCGACACCATCGATTCTTGTATTAGTTGCACGCTATGCTTCTATATTTAGAACTATACATGCTGCGTAAACATACATGTATTGATTTTTCTACACAATATGAAAAATGTTTTACGCCTCACTAATTGCCGGCCATCGTGCTAATTTCATTGCAATTTGCACCTTATTATTTTAGCATTAAAATAATAATTTTACCGAAGTGGACTTTGTAGAACGTCTGCGTGGGGTTACGTCTGCCTCATTCTATTTGAGCGGACGATTCTTCGGCTTCAAAGCAGCCTTCAAAGGGTCTGTAACACCTAATGTGTCTAAATGTTTTATTTAGGGACAGTGGTCCTGATTCGTATTCCGAATCTCCTTAGTCTAAGCAGGTTGTATCACCTGCTTGATTATTGAAGCAAAGGGTGCTTTACTTGGTAATACTGGTCATAAATAAATATACGTGGCCACTTAAATTTCGAATTTAGAATAAAAAAAAAACAATTGAAAATAAGAACTGGAATAAAAGGGATGCTCCGTATTTTTAACTATATAAAACAAGAAAATTATTGATTTAA